GAGAGAGAGAGAGAGAGAGAGAGAGATTTGTGCAGCCAAGAGAACAGCTATAGAATCTCTGAACACAGGATTTCTTTACCACTCTGGTTTCAAGCCTCTTTTTGTGTTGTGAACTGCCCTTTTCTATCCCTTTCTGGTTTTGAGTGAGAGGATTTTTCTATCAGATTCAATATACTACTAATGCTTTGAATGTGTCAAACCTCATATCTTTCTTGTCACAAAGTCAACTGTGTGGGTGCCTATCCATTGTTGGGATAAACTATGAACTGACTTCACCACCAAGTCCTGAAACCCTACAAGGCAGGCCTGAGAGCACAACATTGTTACACAGTTAAATTGGTGTCTTGGCCTTTTGAAATCAATCACAACCAGCAATAACTTTTTGGAAACCAAGCTGAGTTCACACAGGTGTTGTGTTGTAACATAGGGATGGATGGTGGGTGGATGCTGCTGTAGCACAGTCACATGAGACATTGTGTGAAAGAATAGAACCGAACAAAGAGGCAAAAAGTATTCATTGCTTTCTTTTCAGTTGAGTACTTCAAAGCCTAGTCAGTCGCTGGCTACTTCTGAAAATTCTTCCTGCCTCCATGCAGAATTGGGCAGACCTAATAAAGAAAGGGATGGTAGGGTTGGTGCCAAGGTCTTTGGACTTTGTGGACTTCGGAGCTGTGAGGTCTTCTCTTTATGGCCTATAGCTTGTTCACTGAGAAAGCAAAATGTTTGGAGAGAGGTAAAAGAAAGCAAACTGGAATAATAATAATGAGATGGAACAGCTTTAGTTTGGATGTCTCTCTATCCATCATCTTGTAAGTTCATGATAGGTATGGGAGGAGCACCGGGCAACATGAACTGCCTGCATGCATGCAGGCAGGAGACCGAAACCAAGGGTGAACCACAGCAAAATCTAGCTCATCAACTCACATGGTGGATTAGAGCAGCAACCGCATCACTGTTGATTGCCAACCATGTTGAATCCATTACAGATAGGTTGATAGGACTGTACTCCAACCTCCTTTTCTGATACAAGGGAAGAAGAAGATGCCTTCTCTGGTTTTGCAACCCAACCCTGACATTAGCCCTTGAACTGCCCTGGACAAATAGTTTCTGCCAAGAGGCTCAAATTACTGATAGATAGATAGATAGATAGATATATGCGTGTATATATATACATAAATGTATAAAAGAGGTGTTAAATGACATTAAAGGGAGCCATGAGAAACAAGTAAACTGAGCTGGGAATCTCGACATATTAATTAAAACGAAGGAGAGAAAGAGAAAAGAGAAAAGAGAGGGAAAAAAGGAAAGCTGGGTGTTCTTTCCATGAACCTAAATCTGTGCAGAGCATAGTTCTTTTTGTCGGCATTAAAGAGGGGTCAGCAGCAGAAGGAATGATGGGAGTTGCTGCAGACGGGAGTGATGGTGGGCAGGACGGATGCAGGCTATTGCTGGGAAAACAAATCAAAAGGAGAATTGTCGCAGCTGCTGCCAATCCATCCGATGATGTTGTTAACGTCAAATTGATCATCAGCCAATGTTCCTTTTCATGCTCAAGTAAATAAATGTATAAAGAGATAAAGTAAAATGACAAATATCCAAAATCAAGATAGTATTTGAAGCGACTATTGTTTATAGTAGGAAGACCTTAATCATATGCAGTTTGGGGAAATATTCTCCAAGGCTACTTATCATTCTGATTTGGTGCTATGATAGCAATTAGATGGCAATGTGGGAGAGAGAGAGAGAGAGAGAGAGAGAGTTCTCAGAGGTTGGCCGGCGAGAGACATGGAAGAGCACGTTGCATGGCACTGAGGCTCGAGGAGACCCCACGACGACAAATCGTCGAGTGCATGCAGCGGGAAACCAGTTTGCCTTCATCTTCGTGTCTTCTCTGCGATCCTGCTTTCACAGACCGACAGCAAAGGCTCAAAGCTTTTTGCCCGGAGTGGGAACGCCACTGCAATCCGCTCCTCCCCACCGCCACAATGCCATCATGACTTCGCCTCAGCTCAGCTCAGCTCAGAAGACTGTCCTCCATTGTGCATTCATGCTGCTGTCCTCTTCCCCCTGTAGCCAATCTTCATGGAATCAGTCAAAAAGCATACAAGGAAATGAGCAAACTGTGGTTCTAAATGGAAGCTTCTTCCTAAATCAAATATAACCTAATAAAACTGGTTTAACAGTAATTACTTGTTGGCCTTCCTGCTTTGTCCTCTGGCATAGCCCATTTGGTGAAATCACAACACTTGATATCAACCTTTATCTGCTTTGTCTTTGGCTGTTCTTGTTTGAATCTAAACAACCACAGAAAACATCAGTGAGATATGAAACAGTATACAGGTTGCTGTTCCCAACCATCAATGGTATGCTTAACATCCAGGCAAAGACACATCCAAGAGAAAAGCTATTCAATCGCAGAGCAACAGATAGAAGCACCACTTCACTATCGAATCGACTTAAAGACAAGTAAGTAGTCTGATAACATTCTATTGTTACTTCAGAATGGCTACATGATGTCTGACCATGGCAAATTCTATTGAGTTGACTTCAATCATGGTAAATTCCCTGTATTGCCTGCTAATTCATCAATTAGTAAGACACTATTTAGCAGTTCACAGAATATCCAACCACTATAACTTCAAAAGAAATAACATGTTCAGACAATGTTCAAGGTTACAAAAGATTGTGTTCAAGTGATTAAACCAAGGAACTACCATCCAACGTTCAAAGAGGATCAATGACTTTTCTCTGTTTGGAGGAATTAGTTGGATAACAGAGGAAGATGAGAAGGGAATAGACTGTTTGTTGAGATCAAAAATTGCCATAGGACAGTTCTGAAAGGCAAGAATGACTACATAAAATTACATGTCCTTCTGAGCAACTGATGTACTGATTTGTTGCTTCATAAACAACACAAGCAACAACATGTGGACCACAAAGCAGGATCAGAGCCACAAGTTCTCAGGACCACCCATCACCTTCCATGGGCATCGTCAGATGTACACATGACGAGGCATATTGTTAATGATTCTGACCATCTTTTAGATGCTGCTGGAAATGGGGCCGATGGATTTCTGCAGGCAGTAAACCACACTAATCAGAAATTCAGTAGGTGCAGATAGACATTTGCAATGCTGCCGAGACTTTTTTGGAGTCATTCATATTTTCAGATTGTATCTCTCAAAACTGCCAAGAGAAATTCGTACAATGCTCAATAGCACTGTCATGTAAACCATAAAATTTGGCTTAATGCAATTGAAACATTTCTTTCTTTGTATTACAAACAACAACAATAAGCAGTAATCCCCAACTATTTAGTGTTGAGTGCATGAATCTTCTTCTGGTGTTGGCTCCATTTGAGGTAATATCTCTTTATCATTTCTAACTAAGTTTTCTTAGGTCTTCCTCTACCTCCTATGACACCATTAATTCGAATCATTTCATCTCATCATCGCACCTAATTGTTCACTGATGACAATAGTTTTTATTAATATATTTTCTATTAATCACATATATCCACCTCAACATTCCCATCTCAACCACATTAATCTTTTGCATCTTGTTCCTTAACTACATTAATTTTTTGATTGATTTTCTTCAAGTCATAAGTTACTCGTACGTGTCTGAAGTGAAACTGGATTGCTCAATGCTCCAAATAACAACATTGAGTCAGCTTTATCTGAGTCAAGGTTGTCTGGTGAGACAAACCCTTCTTTGGTCCTTGTAGATGGTGTCCTTGAAATTTGAAATCCAGACTCCTAAGTTCACAAAAAAAAAAAAGAGGATAAGAAAAGATCTTGCAAAACAAATGAGGGGTGGTCTTTTCATTTTAACTTGTATGAGACAACAACTAATAATTAGTAATCTAAACCACAGTAATTATACACAACTATCTCAGAAAAAAGATGGTCAATGAAATATAAATGTTTCTTAAAATAGCAGGCATTTATTTGGTGTTGCAAATCATGATTATTCCATGAGCTCTGATGACTTTCATTATTGAACACAAACATCATTAGCTTTCAATATCAGCAAAGCAGTTAAAATAGCTGTCATCATATATAAAGCCAGAGTTGGTAAAAGAGAAGGTCGCAGTTTAACAATGGAGAAAATAGAATAAGAAACTATAGTTTTCCAGTTACATGAGAACAATAGAGTGATCATGGTGTCTATAATAAAGGAGAAAACCATTGACAGGAATAAACCTACACCTAATATGGCACAAATTTCTTTAATGGAGTTATACTTTCAGAAATGTCTGTCAATTTATTTCACAACAGGTGTATGAGAAAAAATTCATCATCACATGACTTCCTTTATGGTGCTTACTTGCCAATTTGACAGATCTCATATCAATAATGGTGATTTGACTTGGCAGTCGATGACCTGAGTTATTGTCGGCTTATGCTGGGCAACAAACAACCAGATATGTATAATAGGTATAATTAATATTATCTTTTCTTTTTCTCCTAGGGTTTGGATAGAGTATACTACAGTATATATTTAATTTATGGTAGTTTACTGGCACTATACCCACCTATGAACCTATGAACAGCACAGTTTAATTAGCTTGTCACTCATACTCTGTGTTTCTATGTTCATCCTGCACAGTACAATGTGAAATGTACCTGCAGGGACTTGATCAATCCACATATGGCTCTTGTCACATGATCAGAAGTTTTCAATTTCAGCACATCTGAGGAACAGTAACATGCCATGGCTAATACATGATGCTTTGGAACTTGTCATAACACTTAGACCTAAATCCAAACATCTGTATCTACCAACCTATATCCAAACATCTGTATCTACCACAATATAATGTAACCATTGCTGATTCCCTTCCAGTCTTGGAAACAAGCCAAAAGAGAGATCTCTACTTTCTTGGCATAACTGTATTCATACACCATATCACCACATATATGCATCCATTTATTGCTGGTACATATGATCGATAGTCTTGCTATGATAAACAAATGGAAGCACATGAGGGACCATCTGGTTCACTACAGGCACTAATATAAGACATACTAGGTCCTTGGCTTTGCAAAAGAATGTTACCACATATATCCAATAGTCCAGTGAAATTTATAAAAGAAAAACTAGTGTCTTGTGTATGCTTAATGTTAGCATAACAGCATAAAGCATTTTCACCAAAGTGCAGAAAACTAAAGGCACCAATCATGCTGAGGGAGGTAAATCACAACAATCACCAAGCTTTCACTAGAAAATTCTTAGAAGCTAGGGTTTTATAGATAAACTAATGGTATCATAAAAGACAATCACTATTTGTGTTCACCGTAAGAGATGTGCAACATAAAACTCATATAGACATCAACTAACTCTAATAAAGAGGACATCTGAAAGGGAGCCTTAAAAAAAGCTACTAAAATCACAAGCGTTGGCATGACTATAAAGGAAGAACAAGGATTTTGGTAGAGTAATACTAAATTAAAATTTGGATTCACGAACGATGCAAGATAAAAGTGTAACAGAGGATTTCTATGCAAGTCAAGATACATGAGGAAGATTGGAAAGGTTGTGCTGGACTTTCTTAGTTAAATTTTCAGGATGGAGGAGGGTTCTGTGAGAGATGGAGTACTAATCAAAGTAGACCTGATAACGAACTTTAAAGTTTAAACAAAATAAAATATGGTGCTAAATTTTTTTGCAATAGATACTCTATAGCAGTAATATAAAAGGTACAAGAAAAGCACTATAACCAGTACTATAGCAAAGCTAATGTACTAGAAATAGTACTATAGAAACTTATCATGACAATGTAGCAGTACAATAATAGCAGTGTAGCAAATTGTTTAGGTATAGTTTGCAAGTCAACAGAGAGAAAAAGAAAAAGAAAGAGGGAACAAACAATAGAAAAGAAGAAGATAAAATGGAATCTCATTAATCGTGGGCCAGCACCACTGCAGTGTCTCCTTGACAATTTGCTACACTGCTATTATAGTACTGCTAAGATAAAATGGAATCTCATTAATCATGGGCCAGCACCACTGCAGTGTCTCCTTGACAATAAATGCAGCAGCTCGATTTTATTCATCCGCATATCATAAGCAAGCAGAGAGGATCGTTGACAATAAATGATAGCCAAGTATTCCTAATTTCATATAACAATTCCAAAAACAACTTAAAATCTTAGGCTAGAATAATAAACTAAAATTGGTTCTAACTGCCAACATTTTGCATAACCAGAGAGCTCAATTGTTCATGTAATGTGGTTATTTGAGAAAGATGTAACTACAATTATGATATTTTATGTAATATCTGTATGGATGGATTTAAATGTTTGATTGCATAAGGTATCGTCTTCTTGGCATACAATAATCATATTGGGGCAAACAGTAAAGTTCCTCTAGACTATAAACATAGCGTGTTATAAGCTATAGAAAAAATAAAACAACTCTCAGGAACCTTTACAGACCACTTAAAACCAAGGTATCAAATACCAGTGCTGGACCCATGCCCAGCCCCTAATTGTATTGGTATAGACCCAGTGAAAACCAGTGTGCCAAATTATGCAAGCAGACCAGACCAGCCAGATCAGAAAAAAAGGAAAGAAAAAGAAGAATAAGTCCTCCATGAATACCTCATCGATTGGCTTCAAATGTTTCCCCAGGGTTTTCCTTTTCCACTCTCACCATTAGAGGCAAAAATCCATAGAAGTTGGTCATCCCAATGCCATTTGTTTAAGTCCTCCCTGGTTTTCTCTGACTCAGGAACCATTGCAAGCCAAGGTGGACTAGTGAACATACAAGTTAACAAAATGGTTCGGCATCCATGCTTGGAATCAGAACAATGACCAACGATAATCATTTATAAAGATTAAGTAGCTATTTCCATATTCGCTACCTCTCTCTAGCTTCGCCGCATGTATAAAGCTTCTACTTCCAGGCCTCACTCACTAATGGGTATCACAAGTCTAAAACATGAGTTTTAAGTTTAACATAACAACACCTTCCTGCTGCTTGCGAATTGAAGACTTCCATGTCATGGCAAGAGACTCAATCAACTTATAATCACAAAAGATAATCTACACAAAAATGGAATTCAATGGTACGAAGGTCTCATGCCTTGAGTATTTACAGCAGAACATTCAATTTTTTGTATTGGGAGAAAGTAATTTTTAATTCCATATATATTCCCACATATCATAGCAAGACCAAGAACACTAGAAGTCACACAAAATAAAAATTTTGAATCTTTTCTACTGCAGGTTAAGAAAGTACATTAACTCTAGGTAAATACTAGAACTGGCATCAGTTTTTCAATAATAACCAAACAGACACGAATTCATTTAGCTAATAACAATACTGACTTGGATCCACTGTTAAATGCTGAAACTTGCCAGATAACATGGCAGAAAGAAAAGAAAAAGCCTGCATTACCTCTTCTTTATTAGACTTCAAAACCATGGGCAATTTGTACATGCAACAGTTTTTTCTTTGGCATATTCCACTTCGCAGAACCCCGGGCACAAGAGCTTCTTATCCCTCTTCTCAATATACCCTAACCTCTCTGTGTTCTTGAGTATCTCCTTCCACTTCTAAGCATGTTTCTGTTGCCTCCTCTTCTCCTTCAACACATCATGGACCTTCACGCCCACAAAGTCTGCTGATGGAAGCCTTACAAGAATGCTTTTTGGAGACTATGAGCCTCTTTTCCGGATCCCGCTTTGCCTCCTCCAGCTTTTCCGCCCTCTCCAATTCCCGCTGCTTAGAAAACTACCTCCTTTCCGCGTCGTCCTCACGGCCAACCCCAAAGCTGTCGGGAGCAACAGCATCTCCGCCGATCCTGCGGTGAAACCGCTGCTAGAGCTCCTAACGTGGGTGAGGAATCGATAGCCGGAGATGGTAGGGCCGGGTCGTCGACCTTGGTCTCACTCTCTCTGCCGTCTTCATCCCCCTCTACCTCCTCGCTAGCCCTCTACGACCGATTTGTGGGTCTCGACGTTCCACCGAGGAGCAAGAGGACTTGAACGGGTCCAGGGCGGCACCTCGGGTCACGGCATTATTGTCATCGGCCCACGAGGTAGTCGAAGAAAAGGGAGGGGCTGCCGATTAGGGTTTCGAAATCTGCTCCGCTGATGATGCCAACCAAAGACAGCAACGGACGGTAGGAGCGTATGCAGGCGTGCCTCGATGGCGGGAACATTGCTCGCCATTGTCGAGCTCGGTGACGCCAAGAGGGCTGATTACCATTTTAGCCTCCGGATTTTTAGATTTAAAAATTTTATATATTTTTTTTAATTAATGCTCTTTTCTATCTCATCCTTAAACTTAAAAAAATTATATTAAAAATTTTATAATTATAAAAAATATATATTTAAATTTTACTGATAAAAGATATAACACGTGACAATACCTATATAAATGATATAAAAAATATAGATAGAAAGATAATTTTAATAATAATGATAAATGATGACATCGAGGATGACTATTGTGATGGTGATCCATGAGAATGACGCAGTGATCGACCTTATCGATATTACGAATGACATAAAAAATAATAATAAAAAAATAATTTTGATTCGATTTATATTTTTTATCGATAAAATCAATCACAGGATAAATAAGGTTAAATATTTTATTTTTATAAATATAAATATTGTAATTTTTTTAAGTGATTATAATTAGCCCGAGCCGAAATTAATCATTGCAAAAGAGGGGATATGCGTGCTTCATTGGGCTGGGCTTTTCTAGAGTGTATGTCCAGCTAAATTTAGCCTCTGAGCTTTAATGAGCAGAGCGGAAGAGGAAAAGGCTCAGCCCACTTATATGAATATTAATCATTAACTAATATTAAAACTTTATAATACCTAAAATAAATATATTCTATTATTTTTATCAATTATTTGACCTATCATATATTTCAATATTTTTGAAAAGGGGTATGAGTATCAATTTATATTTAACATCATTATGCTAATGATCAATTAACATACATGAACTAAAATAGCATATATAAAGGTTTTTTGTGTTTTACAGAAAATTAAAATAATATGAGAAAATTTCAAAAAATCACTAAATTTGGATTGCCACACAAATTTGTATTTATATACACATTTGATACTGATATGGGAAATTGTTAATCCCTTATAATCATCAATACATGGCTTAATCAATTTGAGCAAACTAATTGCACTCATCACTCCAATTCCAAATGTCTACTTGACCTTTTGACTTTCTTCCCCTCAGACTTCACCCATGCACTTGAGACCAACAAATCCCTCTTCAGCCCAAAGTCCACCTCATCATCTCACCACCACATCCACACCTTTATGTCATCCCACCTATTAAAGTTCCTTTAACAATAACACTATTCATACACCACCACCACCACCACCGGGCTCACACATGAAGCCTTTCTTGTCTCCATCAACCCTACATGGAGCTCCCACTCCTACCAACCTTAGTGGGAAGTCGGCATTTGAAAAGATAAGGTTGCAGAGATAAACAACTCCTTCCATGCTTTCTCCAATGGCAAAGTGATGAGCAAAAGAAAGGCTTTGTAAGCCCTAAAACCAGGGTCAACATGTGTTAGAATAAAGCTCTCCTTATGTTGCTGGTGATTAAGTAAACAACACCTTCTCCTCTTCCTCCTGCTCTTAATTTCATATGTCGTGTAGCTTTTCCATTTTGGAAGGTCTCGCGTGCTTATTGCTGTATGATCCTCCTTTGTCTCTTCCTCCTACCTCTTGCAGTGGACAGTTGTGCATCTCTGGGTGAAGCTCCCCAAGCTTTAATGCTCGAACTACACGACAAAAGGGCTCCACTGAGGAAGATAATGGCCTCATTAGGCTTTTGGTTGCATTAATTTGCCCTAATGTGCCGAGGGATTGGTGCGATGGTGAGAGATTTTGTGTTGTTTATCTTGCTAAAGCCATTGCTTGACATGGATGGATGCAAATGTTTTAGAGGGACGACACTGCCACTTGTCGATCTAACATAACAAACTTGATCATTGTCATGCAAACTTCGACAAATATGAGATGGTTTTCAAGTCACCATGCAAGCAGCTCATGCACACTGCAGTGCAAGCTATGCATGCTCAATATATATCATCAAGCTATGCATGCTCAATATATATCATCGAGCCATTGTGGAACACTAGAGAGAGAGAAATGGGTTTACATTTGCATGCTCAATATATATCATCAAGCTATGCAAATGTTTAGTCTTGAAGGTGTAGGTCCATTAGAGGGGTCCATGTGGGTCTCAAGGGTATGACATGGGTGAGAAGTCAAAGTGATAGATGGATTCCTGAGGTGTTGTTGGCCTATATTGATCTGAAGCTGTCCAAAGGGTGCTCTGTATCTTCCTGATAAACACCTTAGCAGTGCTAAGGTCTTGCATAAATGTCAACGTCAGGGATGTCGTGAGCCAACACCTCCAATGTTTCAGTTAGTAGTATTGAGAAATGGATAAGGTTTAAGAAAGCTCATAAGAGTACAGGTAGAACCCGCTTGCCCTAGGGGCTTTGGCTTTTATACTTGAGCGGTTGATGGCGTAAAGCCGATGACAGGTTAGGGTGCTCCTTATCTTGTTTGGGTGATCATTAATAGTGGCGACCCGATTCCTCCGATGCTTTAGTTAGTAGTGTGGTGAAGTAAAGAGAGTTTAGTAAAGCTCACAAGAGTATAAGTGGAGCTTTCTTGCCTTTGTTTAGCCCTGGGGCTTTGGCTTTTATACTTGAGTGGTTAATGGCATGAAGCCGATAATGGGTTACGGTGCATCTTACCTTGTTTCGGTGATCATTAATGGTGGCAGCTAATGGATATATCCTCCGAAGGATAGCGTCAGGATAGGATGATCACGATGACATATTTTGCTTGGGTTATTGGCCTATTCGGGACAAGCAGAGATGGCCCTCTGTGCTGTTCGTTTGGAAGGAGAAGCTAGAAAAGTCGAGCCATGTCGTCGGGTTTTAATTTGTGCATGCGAGTCTTCCCTCAGTTGTGATTGAGAATGTCAGTGGACGGAAGGCAAGAAATGAGCCTTGTTAGCCTCTTTTCGGGGGTCTAGATAGGTAAGGGTTGATGGATTGTTCTCTTGTTGGTGGCTATTGAGGGTTAGTGGGAGTTATCCCTTTGTTTAGGTTGCTTCCGCAGGCTAGAGGCAGAGTGAGTTGGCAACACTATTATTTCTCTATCAACGTCCATATTACAACATTCCTTTTTGTTTAGTTTATGAAATGTATGTGCAGAGGTGCTCAAGCTTATAGTCATCCTCAAGGCTTGCATTAAACTGATGTGATTAATAGAGTCAGCTTGGCTTTTGTCGTCTAACAAAATATTTAGGGCACCGATGCATGTGGATGATGATGGAGAAGCTGGAAACCCTGGCTCTGAAAACTGACTTTGGAGAGAGACAGAAGCTTGCAAATGTCTGAAAGCGAGTTCTAGTGGAAGTAGATGTCAGGGAGCCTAAGGTTGAGGTGGGAAGCCACCACTCAATTATGACCACTTTCTAGCCATGCCATTGCTTAATATAAAGATTGAAAAGAAAGAAATCAATTTGGTTTACACTTAGATAAACATATGCTCAAGTTATGATTTTAGGGCTCACTGATCATCGCCCCATGTTTCGATGTTCTTCGCGAATATTAGCATGAAAGTAAGTAAAAAAAGCTGCCCCTAACTTTGAGCATTTTGCTTTGTGGATTGATGGGGTGATGAAGGGAAATGGAGGAGTCACACCTGTTCCTCTGGTAGGGGACATTGACTAGGTGAACGAAGCGAGGCCAACTGGAGCATCATCTTGCACTAAGCTCTGCTCCCTCCATGGTTGCCACTTGGTCCATGAAGGAATTCTGCAGCTTCAAAGCTCTCTCCCATTTCTTCGTCTCATTCTCTGTTCTTCCACGGCAGGAAACATCAGAGATGACTATAACTAGATTGTGGTGAGATTATGTTGTATTATTCTGCAGCAAATCTTGTCCTTCTGTCGACGAATTTTAGCGAGAGTTAAGACTGTCATTAGTGTCTTTGTTTTCGAAGTCTACATCAAGCTCACTCATCTCCAAAGCTTGCAGGTTGTTCTTCTTGTGCCATAATTTTGCTGCTACGAGAACTCGGAGTGATCTTTGGATTATACGGCATCATTCTTGCACTCCTTTCCGCTACCACCTCACCTTCAACTTAGCTTCTTCTGCTCTCTCTGGACGTGCCTTTTTCTTTCTCCACTTCTCATGGAAAACTGCACTTGCACCATCAGATTTCCAGGCTGTTCTTGAATTCCTGGAGCGAGTGGTAATATACCAAACGGTCAATCGTACTCCAATCTTGTACTTCGCTTCTTTACTTTGGGTTGTGATAGGGTTTCTTAGTTAGGTTCAACTCCATCTCAAGGCAATGTCTGCATGCCAATAATAAACATACATAACCATGCACGTACAAGTACGTGCTTCGTAAAGGAAGCAGTTCAACTCCATCTCTTGTTTCAGAGGAAATGGAAGTATATATATGTGAAACACTTGAAGCTGTCAACAGTAAAAGGTTAAAGCCATCAACAGGTACGCCACACCAATGATCAGATTAACACAGCTATTTATGGTTATCATTTTCGTTTAACTGAGCACACTGGTTAGAAAGATCAGATTAGTGATGTTGGATGGAAAGCTAATAATATTCTCCCTTAGGTGTGTTGGGTGGGAGAAAGAGATGTAACACCACCTAAAACCCGATGGGGCTAACACCTTCATGGACCCCTTCCAACCTGCGATAATAATTCCTCACAAGCTAAGTGGGAAGAACACGAGTTCTGCACACTTCCCCTGTCCCACCTCCTCCATCTCCCACTCTGCCACAATTGTTTTGGATGTCCACATACTTATCTCTATATTCGGATATGTTTTCGTGAGTCGTCGAGCCCTTAATTTCGTGTCGCAGGAGTACCAATATCTCTCTTTGAATGGCTATTCTCTACTTATAAACCCAAGTCTCCAGCTAAAGCATGCATGCCATGGCTGAAGAAGGCCCCGAGGCCTCGGTGGCCAGCTCGGTGACGGCGGCCGGCCACTGGTGGGAGATCCACGCGAGCCCCTTCTCCTCTTGGAATACCATGAGGCGGTGGCCGCTGCCGCAGGCGGATGCCCACGCCAGCTCGTCGTCGTACGACGATGCTGATAGGTCGTCGATCTCCAACACCACGTCGTTCACCAATGCATCCACCCACTCTGCCCTCAGCATGGACTCCTCATCCGCTGAACTCGTGGGGGCGCCGGTGGAGAACCATATATGGAGCCAACTTCTACTGTAAGTGTGGCTGTAGCCTTCTGATTGAGCTAACTATCGGTGGAGCGAATTCATCTTCTTGTTGAACTAAAAAGGTAGGTTTGGATGTTTCAGAAACGTCGGAACGAATGGGAAGGCTCGCAGCAGCAGCCATGAAGACGGAGAGAGCTCTCTTGAAGTGCTGAGTTCCAGTTGGGAACTGAGTCCATCCTCGCTGAACTGCTTGGAGAAGCATCTAAGTAGCTGCGATGGACTGCCAAATAACCTGTCAGATTTGGTCACCAACTGGTCCATCTCTCCTCCCAACCCACAACTACATCAGTACATCGCACCATCAACATGCGCTGTTTCCATCGATCGTCGTCCTCCGGTGGCTCACCACTCGGCCTCCGATGCTTCGCGTGCCAAGCACGAAGGAGGAAACAGTACAAGCTATCCCCCATCTTACGACCACAGTATGAAAGGAACTGACACGCCGTTCTTTCGGAGGCCGATCGGCCTCGACGAGTCCGATATGCCATGGTCGAACAGGAGAAATCTGTCGGACCAACTCTCTTTTGCCGGATGCTTAAACATGAAGCCTTCTGTAAACGGCTCGGATTCGTGCGACGGAAACAGGTGCCAAAGCTCAACGGTGAGTTCCACCCACCCACTAATTCTTCTGTCCTTCATGTAATTCCCATTGATCGAACATTGCTGCTTCAAGGTAAAACCCTCGTTCGTCGTTGCAGATAACAGGCAATGGCAAGGTTAGTAGGGCAACTGAAGGGAAGAAGAAAAGATCCGAAGACAGTTCAGAGACACACCTCAAGAAGCCGAAGCCCGACGGCTCCATGGTTTCATCTCAAAAGGTCAGTCAACAACGACATGTTTGTTTGTGTGGGGCTTTCAGTAGCAAAGTTCTTGGAAGGTAACGTTCTGATGTTGGAATCAGTTGCAGGAGCCCAAAGTAAAGATAGCAGAAAAGGTGAGTGCTCTGCAGCAGCTTGTGTCACCATTCGGGAAGGTAAAGACCAATTACACCAGATTGTTCATCTACAGATATAAATGCCACAGACTCATCCAACCTTCTCTTCTGACATTTATCAGACAGATCAAGCTTCTGTGCTAATGGAAACCATCACTTGCATCACAGTTTTACAGAAGCAAGTACAGGTAACATCTCCAATATTTAGAGATTCAAGCTCAACAATGCAAGTCGTAGCTCTAAATTGCAGGAATCAGTCTGATAATAACTCTGGTCATGCTGATGCAGTTGCTAAGTGCACCATACCTGAAATCAAGTGCTAGTAAGGTACCAAAGAGTAAAGAGAGAGAGAGATAAGTATCCTATATAGTTCTTACAGAGGCCATTGATAGCTCATCTTGTAGTGGTCCATTTCAGGAGCAGAATTCATGGGGAGAACTAGAGAGGAAGGAGAAGGCAGAAGCGAAGTACGATCTGAGGAGTAGAGGGCTTTGCTTGGTTCCCGTTGCTTCCATCCCTCAAGTCCATCGAGAGAGCAACAGACCGGACTACTGGATGCCAACATACAGAAGCTGTTTGTACAGATAAAGAAGCTTTCTTTGATTGGATCTATCGGAGAAGCAGCAATTATGTTGATACTATTATGTGAAGATGATAGTTGATTTGGAGAGTCTAGAATGACTTTGAGAGGGACAATGTACCAGCTGAAGCTGATGACTCTGATGCATTTTTATGATGATCTTCTTGAGATGGTGGTCGGGATAAGCAACTGCAGGGAGTCAGAATACGAACTTCTTTAGGCAGATAATTGAACTCAGATTGAATATAAATAGAATAGATCAGTTCTAATGTTATGTTTCATTTCAATGAAGTGAAGAACTCTCCTTCCTTATCTACTTCATTTCAATCTCTATCTCCTTCCTTCTCCCCTTCAAGTTAATTCCGATCTCCTCTTCAGGAGGCTCATCGATTCTAACCTACAAAGGTCAGAATTCCACGCCCTTTCCTTCTCTATCGAAGCAAAACCCAAAAAAGGTTAATTTCTCCCCCTCCTCAAGATTTCAACCCAAGTCAACTTTCTGAAGTCTTGATCTTTTACCATTCTAGTAATCATCTATATATATATATATATATATATATCTGCATAAAATTTCTTATTATGAAACAATTCTCCAAAAATATGCCAAGTTAGATGAATCTCTTGAAGTCATTTTGTCAATCAAATTTGACTGTATCAAACAATATAAAAGCATAAAAATCAGACCAAAAGATGAAGAAAAAAGTCACTTTTCGTAATTCTTCTTTTCTCTTTGAAGAGTGGCTACTTAATAGGATTAAACTGAGAGCAGATAACAAAGAGAGTTAGAAGAGGGGAAACAAGAACAGGGCATCAGTTCATCTGGGGAGGCATTAAATATTTTGATAAGCTTGGTGGCATTACGGTCCCACCTGTGGGCCTTTTGACTAAAGCTATTACAACTCACTTGGCAGCAGTTGTGTCCGCCGAGGCAGCACAGTAGCGGCAACAACGGCGCAACGCAGGCAGCAGTGACCTCGGGCGGCGACGATACAACGGACGGCTGCCGCAGCCTCCGGCGGTGATGACGTCGCGGCCTGCGGATGAAACCGCAAACGATTTACGAAGCCATGACTGGGATCCGAGGGGTGAGGAAGAAGAGAGATCTTCTGCGGTGAAGAAGGCAGATCCTCCGGGTATCATAGGCGGGTACGGTGAATGGGGACACAAGTAATGTTGTAGCCAGTAAAGACTTGGAATCGCCTTGAAGGGATGACCATCTTGACGAAGCACGAAACTTGGAGGCGCGCTCGACTTGACGATGTGGTTGTCTAGATGGCATGGTCGTTTTGATGGTACGCTCATCTTGGGCATAGCCATCTTGGTAAGGTGTGATCTTTTTGGAGCAGCACATTCATCTTAACGAAGCAGCGACCTGGGAAACAAACATGGTCGTCTTGCCAAGACGACCATGCTGAAGATGTTGTGCACTTGAAAGCGCAATCGTCTTGACGACGTGACTGTTTTGAAGGTGCAATCATAAAATGGAACGATACGAGACCATCTATAAATGATGCAGCAGTGTTGAAGTCCTGATCTTGATCTTTTGTAATTAGTTATTTTTGACATCTTGATCTTTCTAGTTTTAAAAATCATATTAATATTCTTATACGTATGAAAGTAAAAATATTTAAACTCGTTTCTCTTCACGTTGTAGATCAATGAAAATACTATAGAGATACAAATCATTACAGGGTTTGGATCTTTCTTACAAATGTCAACTCTCCATCTCTTTATGAAAATACTACGGAGATACAAATTTTATTATCTCGATCATACCTTCAATGAAAAAATATTAATTACTCTTGTAATTTTTTTTATAGAAAGTTTAAGATTAAACATTATGCATTTTCTTTTTTACATAGAATAAACCTTACAACTCAAGAAAGCACTTTTTACAAAATAAACTTTACACCTAAGCTTAAGGGACATTTGGAAACGTTTGCCTCGATCCATCAATTTAGTGGGATATTTATAAACATCCAAACATCCTAGTGAGATATTTATAAAAAATAGCGATACTTATGAATTTCTCAAATATCTATATATGAAGTGAATAAGATCCTTATAATAAATATTTTATCTTATATAAATTCATCAATTATTCTACATCACAAAATCTCTAATTGTTCATATTATAACAAAGCTTAAGAGTTATATCAAGATCATGCTTGTAACATCCCCCAAATTTAAGATCATACTTATAATTATAGGATGTAATTACAAGTAATTAGCTATCTTTAGTATCTCCATTTTAAATCGAAGTGAGGCAAAGTTATTAGTACTTAATACTAAACCTTATGGTTTTTCCATCAATAGAGACAACGATGTAAGTAGAAACGAGATTAAATGTTTCACTTTTATAAGCATAGGGATCCCAATATAACTTTTGAAAATATATAGACCGGGATGTTGAAGATAGCTAATTACAGGGGGTAATCTATAATTAGCCCAAATAGATAGTGGAATCATGGTTTAGAGAATTGTAGGATTCTCTTGTTAATCACTATCAAAACTTAGATGCAATTTAATTACAACAGCTATTTAATTTAGAGAGTAAAATTAACTTCACTGCATTGTGTAGTATGTTTAATATATTTAAAAGTACTTTATTATGATTGCCATTCAAGTGTTATATGTTGAATACTTCAGGTAGTAGTGTTTCTAAGTGATAATAAGTAGTAATGTGGAAGTTACAATAAACAAAATGTGCGAACATAACTAATTATTATGTTTCTAAACTAACTTTGAAATTGAGTATCTAGTGAAATAATTTTGCTCACATATGATTTTGATGGTAAGATAGTTTTTGTTTCGTGAGATTATAATCATATAGTAATCAAAGTCAATTACCAGTATGCTAGCATTCAAAATATAATATTCGACTCATTATAATACCCTCGAAGGTTAGCTTAGGGCTAATTACAGATTATCCTTGTAATTAGCTATCATTATCAATCTGATCTCGACATTTTCAAAAGTTATATTAAGATCTTTATACTTACAAAAATAAAATATTTAAACCAATTTCTCTTCATGATTAACTCTTCTGATGAAAATACTATACATGTTCAATAGAAATCAAAGTGAGACAAAGTCAACATGTACTCAGTGGTAAACCTTACGGTATTTCTATCAACAAATAAAGTTATATTAAGTTAACGATGCTAGAAGAAATAAAGTTAAAATGTTTCACCTTCATAAGTATAGTGATCTCAATATAACTTTTAAAAATTACATGGATAATCTATAATTAGTCAGTTACCCTACATCGAAAATGATTTAATTATTAATATATATAATATTAGTAATTTAGGTTTAATTATTTTTAAGCAATGATTTAAGCCTAATTAGTCAAAGAACTATAAAATGTGGGCACTATAACCCTGAATATACATAGAGACCCAAAACTTATAACTCTTTGATTCCTATAACGTGTTGGATTTGGCTTCCATGATTTTGCTACTCCTACCCGCCGTGAAGTTTCTGAGTTCTTTTCGAATAGGAACAAGTAGACCAGAAGGCTTCCAACTTCGGCCTCTCTCTCTCTGTCTCTAAATTGTATGGTGATGACGAGATGTGTCACTCCTCATGCTTGACTGTCAAAGAGATGAGGAGGTCCAGCCGTAGCTGCTTGGCTACTTCTTGTTGCAGCACCGAGCCATCCCTTCGCTCAGAGCTTTGGCGACCATGGTCTGATCTCCCCATCGACATCATGATGGAAATCGCAGAGCGTCTTCTCCCCAACGCCACCAACTTGGCTCGATTCTCAGCCGTCTGCCGCTCGTGGTGGTCGATCGTGAAGGAAGAAACTTCTCTGGCACGTCAATTCCCTTGGCTGATGCTCGCAGAGGAGGAGATCGACTTCCCCTCCTCCTCGGGAAGCAACATTTGTCGCCGCTTCTATAGCTGTTCCAAGAAGAGAATCTACGAGCTCCCCATGCTCCAATGTCAAGGAAGATTCTGTTGTGGCTCCTACGCCGGTTGGATCGCGACGGTCGGCAAAGACTCCAAGGATGCATCTCGTGAACATCTTTACTGGAGGCGGCGTAGAGCTGCCTTCGCTATACGCCTTCGGTACATCCTTCCGTCAATGTTGCAACCGGTCACCAGAGCGCAAGCGTTCTCTTTTTGTAACCAAGGTCTGTCGTCAAGCCCCTCCGCTTGTCGGGACTGCCTCGTGGTGGCGTTCTACGGCATCGGATGTAAGCTGGGTATTGCAAAGGTTGGCGACGATCAATGGACTACAGTAAGCTGCAATTGGTGTCCCTACTTGGATGCCTCGTTCTACAAAGGCCAATTCTACGTGGTCAACTGGAAAGGGGACAGGTGCATTTCATATCGACCAAACCGAAGCAACTCATGACCGACTACACCCATCGGAAAATATACCTGGTGGAATCATCGGGCGATCTACTGTACGTGGTGCGGGTGTTTAGGTATTCCCCAAAGCCGACATACAACACAAAGAGCTTCGTTGTCTACAAGCTGAGCGTTTCCAACGGCGAGTTGCAGCAGGTGAATAGCCTAGGAGAGGGCGGTCGCTGTTCTTGGGCCTCAACAACTCGATATCGGTGGAGGCACCAAAGCTGGTGGGATGCCAAAAGGACTCCATTTACTTCACCGATGACCTAAGCGAGTTCAAGACTTGCTGCGCACCGGGAAGCGGACATGACACGGGGATCTATAGCATGGTGGATGGTTGCATCACCCCACACTGTGATGGGGTCTCACTCTCCCGAGTCTCGCCGCCGCTATGGGTGCCGATCCACCATTTATTTTCACCCAGCATATAGTCGCCTTCGTTTTCTTTATACATTCGTATACAAATGGTTTAGTCTAATAGAAGATTAGTTAATTCGAATTATTTTTTTATGTTCACGTTGATAAGATTAATTTAAATAGTTAGGATTAGATGAAACAAAAGATAAAGATTTAGATTAATATAAATAGATGAGAGTGAATAAATTTGTTAGACTATGATGGATTTTTTTATTGCTTAAAATATTTTTTAATCTATCTTTTGGGTAATAAAAATAAATAATCTCAGATGAATCCGAAGCATTACATATATATATATATATATATATATATATATATATATATATATATATATATATATATATATATCATTGGTGAATTAGTGAAGAAAAACAAGAAGAGCTGCCATAGGAAAGGATGGGAGGAAACGGAAGTCTCAATAGTATCGAAGGTCTTTTAGGCAACAGTTTTGAGAAGGTAAGATTCCTATAAATTTTTGTAAAATAATCTTTTTTCTTTATGCATGATGTTGATAATTTTTCTTTGTGCATGATGCTCTTTTT